ACCGAAACCCACGTAGATGACCGTTTTAAGCTTCCACAAAACAAATCAAAATCTCCACTTACATATGCAAAAAAGTTCAAGTCTTTATCACTTTAAATTTCGAATTCAGAAGACAACGTTCCTTAATCCCATCATCATTATCACAGAGAGTTGCTATTTACACTTCAATCGAATCAGTAATTTCGTCTTTCCTTTTACATTGTTCCTTCGATTTTGTATTGGGGTTTCTTGATGTTCAAAACCCAAAAATTTTGGTTTTTGGAAGTGATTCGAATGTGGGATTTTTTTCGGTTTTGATGTTAATTGATAGGAGTTTAGTAGTAATCTTGATTTTAGTAAAAGTTTAGGTTAAATAAATGTTAATTGAAGTCGTGTTCTTCATTTCTTATTGCACTAGATGCACTTGACTTTCTAATTTTGACTATTGTTGGTCAACTTAGCTCCAGAAGCAAGAAATTCAGCCTTTTTTGTAACAAATACATGAAAGGGTGTCTTTCTTTTACACAAAATCCATAAATTTTCATCAATTTATTTTATTCTTTTGAGTTTTTTAACACTTGTTATATGAATTTCAGAGGATGTCGAGATATTCGTTTTCCAAAGATGTTCGGGTCCCCATATCCGGAATTCCATATAACTTGAACAGGGTAAGAAATTCCATTTTAGCACCTCGTTTTTATGTCTTTCTTCTATACAATTTACTTTGAAGTTTAATCTAATTATAGCACTTTTTTAATTTCAAGATCCTTTTATTACTTTATTTTATCATGAAAAATCCAATCACTTATTTCAATGTGTAATGCTATAATAGGAATAGATGTTATGAAGTTTACCGAATTCACTTTTTCCTGAAAAATTACGGGTGAATTGACAAAAATTTCAAAGTTTTAAATAGAGTAAATTCTTATGGTTTGAAGAAATTTACATGTTTGGTTCCTAACTTATTTTTTAACTCGGAATGACCCTATTATTTGTTTTTATTGCGTGTTTGATCCGTCTTACTTAAAAAGACTATTTTGCTCTTGGTTGTTTAATTTATTTAAATAAAATGAGGTATGTTAGGTAAGGTAAGGTGAGATGGAAATATGATTGAGATGTGTTTATTTAAATAAATTAAAAAATTAAGGACAAAATAGTTTTTTTAAATAAGACAGTGACAAAGTGAGTAACAAAAACAAACAGTAACAAACAGTAAGAACATTCCAAATTAAAAAGTTAAGTTAAACATCAAACGTATAAATTTCTGGAAACCATAGGGACCATTCGTGTAATTTACTTTTTTAAATAATTTTTATTTTGACAATAGTAAGGTCAAACTTTACATCTCTTCATGCAAATTGCAGGATCTTCTTGCTGCAAGATCATCAAGACTCTGTAAGCTTTTCAAAGAAAACCCAGATGAAGATCTTTCTCATCATGTTTGTGATATCCCAACAACTCCTGAAATTTTCGAGCTCATTGCAAGATTCTGCTATGGTTTTGAAGTCAATTTTACACCAGAAAACGTAATTCCGATTTCTTGTTTAGCTTGCTATTTGGGTATGACTGATAACCACAGCCCCAACAATCTTTTGAATCGAGCTCTATCATTCTTCGAACACCAAATCATAACAGGCTGGAATGAATCGATCAGATCCTTGAAAGCCACAGAAAATCAAATCGTTCTTCAACAAGCGACAAAACTAGGGTTAATCGATGCTTGCGTTGATTCAATCATCTCGAAAGCGTTAAACAAACCGATTTATCTTGGAGAACCGATCGAACCAATTAAGAATCCGATTCTTTCTGATGAAGATGAAGATGGGTTTAATGGCCATGTGTACAAACCAAATGCAAGGAGACAACTTTTTGTTCTTGATAGCAAACAAGATTTATGTTTGACCACACTTCGTCTTCAATTCTACGAGCCAATAATCCGTGGAATGATTCAATGCAAAATGGGTTCAAATTACATCGCATCAAATCTCTACCAATACGCGAAAAGATGGGTGTTTTTTGACCCGAAAGAATCCGATCAATCGTCATCTTCTTCAGAAGGTGTTTCTTCAAATTCAAGACGAGACACAATCGAAACAATCGAAAAACTTTTCCCTCATGGTCGCGGGGTTGTCCCATGTGAATTACTATCCGAATTGCTTCAATACGCGATCATTTTAGAAGCTAATATCGATTGTCGAGATGGGTTTGAGTTACGAATTGGGAAACAATTAGATTTAGCAACAGTTCATGATCTGCTAATCCCATCTCAAGGGTATTCGAAAGAAGAGAAATACGACACCGAATGCGTTCGAAGAATCATGAAACATTTTTATAATAACTTCACCGGGGAAGATAATCGTGCCGGGCTTGAAATTGTGGCGGATCTTGTTGAGGATTTTCTCGGGGAGGTGGCGAATGATGTTGATTTGAAAAAGGATTCGTTTATTTCACTAGCGGAATTGTCGATTGCTGCATCTGAAGGAACACAAAGAAATTCAGATGGGATTTATCGTGCGATTGATATTTACTTAAATCAACATCGGTATTTGATAGAATCGGAAAGAGAAGAGATTTGTTCGATTTTGGATTGTAATAAGATGTCGCCGGAGGCGTGTGAGCATGCCGCCCAGAACGAGCGGCTTCCGGTGAGGGTGGCGGTGCAGGTTTTGTTTGTTGGGCAGTTGCAGCTGCGGGAGACGATAACAAAGGAGGTGACCGTGGCCGAGGAAGGTGGTAAGGGGAAAAATTCGCCGGAGAATGGGGCGGCGGTGGTGGAATTGGAGAAGATGGGTTTTAAGGTGATGGAGTTGGAGAAGGAATGTGGGGCAATGAGGAAGGAGATTGAGAAAGGGTATTTTGGGAAGAGGAAAATGAAAAAAGGAAAGGTGAATGTGTGGAGGGTGATGAAGAGGAAGCTTGGGTGTATATCGAGTTTGAATAATTGTAATTGTCATGTGAAGAAGAAGATTCATCCAAGGTAGAAGAAGAAGATCTTGAGTTCGTTTTTATTAGTTTGGTAGTTGGTAGTTTACATCAATCTTTGATGTTTGAGCAATAAGTGTTTTTGACATTTTATGTTTTTGACATTCTTTGTTTTATACAAGGAATCAACTTCTTTGTGGTGAAAGTTACATTTTCACCCTTCCGTTTAAAGAAATTTTAAATGTAGGGCAAATTTCATAAAAACTCATGTAGTTGGTCACTTTTTTGGTTTAGTCACCTAAATTTCCTTGAGAATTGTTCTAGTATTGAACCACAAAAAAAAACTTTGCAAAAATTTGTGAAAAAAAAATGCACCATGACATGGTATTGTTGCTATTTTTTTGTATTGTTGATGTATATTAAAAGGAAATTTTTATAAAACCATTGTAGTTTATTGTTTCTTTTCGATTTAACCATTCAAAAAGAAGTAAATTTCAATTTTATTTGCAAGTAAAATGTTGATGTTTGTGGAGAATTCGGAACCAATGAACACGTTTTTAGGTTTCTGTAACTATAAGATAAGCTATTGCATACTATACAGATTATTGTTTGTTCCTTGATTATAGGTAATATACTTTTCTTTATGAGAATGCAACCGAAGCTTGCAATTAGCTTCAAATTTATTGATCCTCAACTACCCGATTATTGGTAACATAATGATTAGTATTCGACGTTGGTTTAAGAACAACATTTGAAGTTGATGAGCAATATCCCTATTGCGGAACATGGAGAATGTGTTTGATGCAAATAAGGTAAGGGTGTTGAGGCTAGTTGTTTTAATTTTGGTTATTGTTGAGTTTGTGATGGTTTAGGATAAAATGGAGGGATGTAATTGTCATATTATGGTTGAGCAGCAAAAGTGGGTACCCGTCTTCATATATGTAACCGTCTTGGAACTTGCCAATCATAGAACCAGAACTATTGTGAGCAGTTTCAGTTCTGACTCCTAAATATTGGAACCAATAGAAAGCGATTTCAATTCTTAATTTTTGAAACTGCCACCCGTTGGGAACATTTTGGAACATGGTCTAACCAACTAATCTAAGATGGAATGTTAAAATAAACATTATGGACAATGTTGTTAATAAATATAACCAAGTTTATTGTGTTTTTGAAAATGATCATTTTATCCGGAATGAATCATTCTAGACCAATAAAAAAGTACACTCCGAACAATTAATATCAAGCAAAACTATAAAATCCAATAAAGAATTTGAAAATTTCAAGAAAATGCTTCGTTTTTTACTCAAATATGTCAAAATTTTAAAGAAACGTTGCTAATAAAAGTCAGATATGATAAAAAGATTTAAAATTTGACATTCAAATGAAAAATAATAATACTAAATCATTCGAAAATAATCATTTCAGACATTAAAAAAAATAATCTTTTGAAGAAGTTTTAGTGAAAATGAAAAAAATAAACATTAGATATTTTTTTTATTGGTCCAAAATGACATCGAGTTTGGAATAACTCATTTAGGACAAATTAGTAATTTCTCAATACACAAAAATTTGGTTGGTTGGTTTAGTTAATATCTTTCGAGTGTTTGTATCAAAGCATGTTATTTGTAAAACTAACTTGCTAGTAAATATCCTTAATCTTTTTATTGTAAATATACAAGGCAGTGTTATTAAGGGACGCGTTCAAATAAAAAGGTTAGGAACCCTTAAGTTGAAAAAATTCTAGTTATATTAAATCAAAAAAATGACAATCTATAATCAAAATTCATTATACTCGGTTGCAATGCAATTTGAAAAAATAGAAAGTTTTTGTGGTTAAATGAAAAAAAAAAATTCTAGGTTATTAAATTGTAAAAATGACTTGTTAAATGAGTTTTAGACGTAATTTCATTTTTTTATATAGCTTGAAAGTAAAGAAATGAAATCGCCTTACATAGTTTGGAGTGATTGTAATTGTAGCATTGTTTACTAGGTTAACAGTAAAATTCTGGTTAAATTAAATCCAAAAAATGACAATCTATAATCAAAACTAACTATACTCGGTTGCAATGCATTTTAAAAAAATGGAAAGTTTGTGGATAAATCAAAACAAAAAAAAAATACATAAAAAAAAAATCTCTAGGTGGTTAAACTGCAAAGATGACAAATTCCGGTGGCTTTTAGTTGTTAAATGAGTTTTACACGTAATTCCATTTTTAAGACATACGCATCAAGTCTGAACAAAGGCCACGATACATAAAACAAGATGACAACTAACATTTTCATCTACAAGAACAAGCCAACAATTGACATTTACTCCTTGAGCAAAAGAAGAAACAGCCTTTGATCCACCTTAAATTTACCCATCTTCACAGGAGCCCCCTTCATCATCAGTTGAAGCCCTCCAAATGATATGTACACAGCCCTGTATCCGTATACACATCCCCAAGATGATCAGACATAAAACTTTAAAAATAGAACATAAGTTGTATTGTGTTTGACGACATGCATTGGACTGGACTGGACCAGACCGGAACTGAAGTCAACGGGACAAAAATTGCCTTTTTTTTGTCCCACCTGAAAAGGTCAAACAAGGTGGGACAGGGACTCGCTCTCGATCTCATGTATGTGAAAAAGACGTAAATGCCCTTCTCATCCTCACCATCAGAGATACCCCTAGAAAGTTTGTCTAATCCAGTCCCATCCAATGTAACAGATGTAGCCTAAGGCTACGTTTCTCACACTGACATGACTAGACAAGCTTTCTAGGGTTATCTTCGATGCTGAGTATGAGAAGGGTATTTACGTCTTTTTTCACATACATGAGATCGAGAACGAGTCCCTGTCCCACCTTGTTCGACCTTTTCAAGTGGGACAAAAAAAGGCAATTTTTGTCCGGTTGACTTTAGTTCCGATCCGGTCCAGTTCAATGCATGTCAAACACAGTACAACTTGTTCTGATCCATCATATCAAAGAAACATAGGTAATGAGATACGTACACTTCAGCATCACCATTTTGGTTCTTATCATCTGAGATCTTGTATAACAACCCATGCATCACATACTCAAATCTGTCAGCAAGTGATTTCTTGCTTCCCTGTCATTAAATTATAATAGATCGTCTTCGTTATTAAGATTGCATTTGTTACACTAAACAGGACTCAAAACACTTAGTAGGTTATTTTTAGCAACGATGATGAGAAAGGCATTTATGTCTTTTTCAAACAATATATCACAAGCAAGTCTTGTTCCACCTTTTTTGGTGGAACACAAATTGCAATTTTCATCCCATTGACATCAGTCTCATTCCCTGTCCCAAGTGTTCGCCATTGGGTGAGGTAAAAAGCTGCAAATTTTGTCCCATTGACATCAGTCCCAATCTCAATCCTTGGTCCGAGTCAATCTCAAACATTGACTCAGATCGACTGATGTCAATACCAAAAAGGTGGGGCAGGGATTGGGACTGATGTCAATTGAATCTGCCCCATCTTTTTGGTATTGACATCAGTTTGAGTCCCAATTTCCAATGAAGGACGATACAAATAGCATTATATAATAGCTTACTTGAGTATGAGTGGTAACAGCTGAGCCATCTTCATTTAAAGTTTGTGACAAAACCATCCGATATTTCTCTCCGGCATGCATAGGGTACAATTGCGAATTCACATCCAACACAATGTGTATGTCAGTTTCCTCCCCTCGTGCTTCAATACGTGAAACTGAAGGTAAAAGTTTTAATTATTAAATAAGTATTACTACATGAAATAGCAACGTACTTTCATTTATTTATGTATTATAGAACTCAACTTCTTTGAAATGCTACCACGATTACAACATTATATTTTCAATGTTTAAAAAATTCTACTTGCTTTGTATTTGGATTACATTGCTTATATTGGTAGAATTCTCAAAGTACAATGTTATAATAGAAAGAAATGAAAATAGAATCATATGATAAACAAATCAATAAAAGGAAATTGCTAATTCTTGCATTTAACTCTAAAAACAAAATGTTTCTTTGAAATATAAATAGAAAATCTTGTAATGATTTTGGAATATTGGTTTATGGACTAGTTTCATTGGCTGGATAGATACCTTTGTCATATTTTTTACCATCTGCATCCACTCCAATCACCTTAATTGTATCATCAAAGTGAGGGTTAACCATCTTTGTTGCACTTTGCCTTAAATATGAAATACAAATAACATAGAAACTCAATTATATATATACTTATCAAGAACAATAATGTTAAAACAGATAAAAACTTTTAAAAACATGCTAATACAAATAAGATTTTAAAAAACAATTTAACTTTTATATGGTAGCTTTCTTAGTCCAGTTCATCCTATAAATTCCTCTATAACATTGACCAATTTAACTGGAAATTTACCCCCAAGATGTTCATATGTATGATATATATATACAAGATGTTCATATGTTGTGTTATTCCGATCGTTTACATCGAAGAACTCGATCAAATATGTGAGACAGCTGATTGGCGATTATTTGGATGAATTGCTTGATTTCAGTTCAATTAATATCATTGAAAGCTAAAATAGCTAAGGAATACGACTAAAACCCTAAATCATTGAATGAGAATAAACCAAGTTTTTATCGAATATTGGGGTTGTTAAGAAAAGCACGAACGAAGAGAATTTACATATGGAGAATGATAATGAAGTAATAGAAATGGAGAATTTTTGAGGAAAATTGAAGACACGTACCTGATGATGTCTCGTATTTGGTTGTCCCTGCCAAAAACCCTAGACGAGGGTTTTGTTTAGAAGAGTATATAAAGCAGTAGTGTCGTAGCGTCGTTAACGAATATTATTATTATTATTATTATTATTATGATTATTATTTTATGAGAAATCAATAATCTCTTTTTTTTTTTTTTTTTTTTTTGGAAAATGAACTTCCCTAACCAGGGTTTCCGGGTCAGTTTTCGCGCAGCGACTAATCACCGCTGCAAACATGAAGCTTTGTCTCATGCTCTGGAGTCACTGCATGAAGCTGCAAACATGATCACAAGGGTTGAATGGTATCATGATTTGAACATTGATCAATATGATATTCATCAAATCTTCTACATGTCTTACTAAGTCACCACAATCCAAGTGGTTTAATCTGGTTTTCAAAATAACAATTTAATTTTTTTTTTTTTTTGCTCTTTATTAGTTAAAATTTTTATCTTGGTTTCTTATATGAATTTGATGTTTATATATATATATATATATATATATATATATATATATATATATATATATATATATATATATATATATATATATATATTTATTTTTTTATTTAACTGTTTTAGTATAGTAAATAGTTACATATTAAAATAAAAATTAAAAATCAATTGGTGCATTAGAATCTAACTTTATAGTCCCTCGTTCTTTTCCAAACATCAACCCCTCCTTCGTTCTTTCCTTCTCTTCTACCGTCTACCCCTACGCCTGCCACCATAGATCGTAGCCACCAAAGTCTTCCACTAACCACCCTTCCTTCCTCTACCATCACCCACCACATTATTGAACAAATGCAAAAACTCATATAAGGATGAACAATTTGTAGCAAATCTCAATTCAACATCGGTATTGTACCGGAATCGATACTCAACTGTACTGAACTTTAAAAAATAGGAAGGTATTCGGTACTCCAAAATGACAACATTTGAGATTCGGTGTCGTCGATGTAGATACTAGTATCGAAAGCTAGTATCATTCCCGGTATCGGTACCAATAATGTTAATTTGATTCGGTACTTGGGATTGATTTTTGATCAAATTCGGTTTTCGGAAAATCGGGAACTGTACTTGTCGGTACTGGTTCCGTCTCACGTCTATAACATCCCAAAATTCAAGACCAAAATTTTCATTTTTAGTTATTATAAAACCAACAGTATAAGAAAACATCCATAATATCATGTTATGTCAAAACCAAAGTAGAAATAATCAAAACATGTTATCATAAACAATATCAGAGTACAATCCCAAAGATCTCATGTGCAGGAAACCATAGTGTGATGTGTTGCGATCGACCCGACTCCTTTCCTTTGAAAAAGAAGTACCTGAAACCAAAACTGAAAACCGTAAGCACGAAGCTTAGTGAGTTCCCCCCATTATACCACATACCATACAACACACATGCCGCCAAGCATATCCTGGTGTTGGCCTACCCCTTCGGTATCTTTCAACCGGTATCTGGGGACTGTTTCACCCCATATCACTACCACATAATAACATATCATAACATACATAAATATATTGTCAGGCATATCTGGGTGCCCGACCTACCCCTTCGGTATCTTTCAACTGGTAACCGGGGACTATTTCACCCTTACCACTACCACATAATAACATAACATAACGTACTGCTAGGAATGCATTGGTTTTTACGACCCCTTTGGTATCTTTCAACCGGTATCCAGGGACTATTTCACCCCTAATACTACTAACACATATAACAGAGCATCCTAGCAGATAGAGCATATTAGATAGTTGCAAACCAGACAATTATCACATAGACAATCATCTCATACATAATCACCTACTAGTGGGCCAATATTGGTGCCTTAGACCCACCTCTACTGGATGGTAACTCACCTCACACTGTTGAAGTCCCGTAGACATAACCCCCAGTTGCTGGATGACAGATTCCCAAACTATCGATATCAAAACATCACCCAATTAATAATTAGGTTCCAACACATAACCATAAATACATACTTGGGGTTAAATACTACTTTACCCCTAACTTAGCTTTATTCAAGCCCAAGGCCCAATCCAAAGGGCCAAATGTCAACTATGCGTCAAAGCCCAACATATGGCCCAATTTTCAAAATCGGGCCCAAACCTTTACAAGGTCTTACCATAAGGCCCAACCATTTAATCCAATCCAACATTCAACATTCTAATAGCCCAATATCACACAATCATAAAGGCCCATCTATGGTTCAATTTTCTAAATTGGGCCCAACTCCTCATATGGGCCTTACCTCAAAGCCCATTAATTGTTCTAGTCCATTTGCTTGATATTGGATGGCCTATTAATAATCCAATCATCAAGGCCTAATAAAAAGGCCCAACAATAAACCCAAGTGAAATTAAGGTTTCTTATAAAATGACAATTAGGGTTAAGTGTGTCTCACTTAACCCATTAAGGACTTAATTAATTAAGTCCATCATTCTTCTAATTAAATCATATGGTGTGATTGGGCTTAATACACAACTCCATTCCAATGGCCCAAATGTGGGTCCCGATAAGTCCAAGCCCATAAATCCAGTTTTCTAAACCCTAATTAGGGTTTCCAACCCCATCTTAGCCCAATAGGCCCAATAGTTAGGTCTTTTGATCAATTAAGGTTCATTAGGCCCATTAAGGTTTCACTAGGCCCCTTAGTCTCATGTTTGGGTTTTTAGTCCATTTAGGAATTTATTAGGCCCATTAGGGTTCCATTAGGCCCATTTAGTCCAAACATCCCAACACGAGTCATAATATAAACGAGGCACACCGCCACCCGACACGGTGGCCAATGGCGGCAGCCACCACCTCACGGTGGTGGTGGTTTTGAGTTTCTTTCATTATTCTTTTGCTAATACATTTTACAACTCAAATCTCAATAACACACACACACTAACATAAGCACACACACATACAACCACCTTAGTGGTGGTTGGTGGCGACACACGGCGACAGAAAAGCTATAACCGGCAGCAACCACCATGATTGGCTGCCATGGTGGTGTACTTGCTTTTCGGTGACACAAACCTCCTAAGCACACACATCACACACCAACAGTGGAAATACAACTACATACACATGTTCTGGTTACAAAAAGAACCTAGCCACCCACATGGTGGCGTATGACGACTGGCAGCGACGACAGCACCTACAATCATCAATGACAGCGATGGATAAAGCTCGAAGGCGTCACAAAAGAGGGTAACGGCGGAAGTGGGCCTGTGACGACGCAACAGGAACGAGGGAGGTGGCGGCGGCACCTTCACGATTTGGTTATGCCTCTGACAACCACGCCACGAAGGCGCTCATCATCAAGGCAGCAGGCGGCGGCCTTGTCTTCGTCGAAGGGCAGCAGCAGCACACGCCATGGCGGTGGCTACGACTTCCATTGGTGGTTGGGCGACTCCGACTTGAGAAGTAGCGGGTGGTGGATGCAACGTCTCGTGGCAGCGACTGAAGAAGAAGAAGGAGAAGAAGAGCGGTGGAGACTCAGTGTTCGCATGGTAGTCATTCGCTGATTGGAAAATGGGGTGGTGGTGGCGTCGGTGAGGGGGCATAAGGATGGAGAGAAGTAGCGGTTGTAGATCCCCTCTAAGGTTAGGGTTACGGGACCTTAAATACCCGACTCATATAAAAGTTTTTCAAAATGGCAACAGCAGTCCCTCCCTTCCCTTTTCTTTCATATGTAATCTAATTTTTACCCTTTTAATCCCATCTATTCTTGGCAATGGATATCTATTCTTTATAATTGCCTTATTCAGCTCTCTATAATCGATGCACATTCTCATGCTCTTGTCCTTCCTCTTTACAAATAACACCGGAGCTCCCCAGGGCGATGAACTAGGTCTAATGAAACCTTTGTCCAATAACTCTTGCAATTGCATCATAAGCTCCTTCATCTCCGTTGGTGCTAGTCGATAAGGTGCTTTTGCAATTGGCGTCGTTCCGGGTAACAAGTCAATACGAAATTCTACTTGCCGATCAGGTGGTAATCTAGGAAGATCTTCGGGAAACATTTCCGGATAATCACACACCACTGGAATGCTCTGCACTTCCTTCTTCTCTTTCTTAGCATTAATTACGAATGCTAGATACGATGTATATCCTTTGGCCAAACACTTTCTGGCTTTCATCAATGAAATGATTCCAGAATTTACTCTGCGCTTATCTCCATACACCATAAACGACTCTTTCCCAGGTGGGTTTACTTTTACAATCTTCTTTTTGCACAATATATCGGCGTCATTGGCGCTAATCCAATCCATTCCAAGCACGATGTCAAAACCGTTTAGTTCTATAGGCAATAATTCCTCGTGGAATTTATTCTCATTCAAGTCAATGAAGATATTTTTCATGCGATGGCTAACAGGTACAAACTTGCCACTAGCGACTTTGACTAATAAAACATTATCTAGTTTATCAACAGGAAAAGCTAGTTTTATACCAAACTCATGCGAAATAAATGAGTAGTTGGCTCCAGAATCAAACAAAATTTGATCAGGCAAACTGTTTACAAGAAAGGTACTTGAAGCGACATCGGCCTCATCTTTCGCAGCTTTGAGTGTCATCTGGAAGGCTTTCGCTTTCGGCTTTTGGGGAATATTGGATTTTGCTGCCTCCTTCTTTCTCGGACAGTCTTTCAAAATGTGCCCCTCTTCATTACACCCAAAGCACACTCTTTTGTTGGACGGACACTCATTGGCATAATGCCCCGTCTTTCTACACTTGTAGTAGGTCACATCCTCGCTACATTTCCCAGAGTGCTTTTTCTTGCACTTCTCACACCATCTTGATTCGCCTCATTTTCCTCCTCCAAACTTTTTTGAATAGAGTTCAGAAATTTGTTTTTCTTGCTGGAACCTGAAGTTCCTTCAAACTTTCTCTTTTCACCAACTTCAACTTTGTTGGCGGTTCTTCCCTTGATCATGTTCTCAACAGACTTGGCAGCCCAAATAGCTGCCTCAAGAGTAGGTGCCTGACGTACTGGCACAACGTACTCCCATGGGAGTCCCTTTGCGTATCGGTCTACTTTTGTCAGCTCATCTGGAACGATACGCAAAGCAAACTCCATCTTGTATGTAAAGGCATTTGTATAATCATCAACTGACATGTTGCCCTTTGTCAATGTCAGAAACTTGTTCTCCAACTCTAATAGATTTTGGGTCGAGCAGAACTTGCGCTGGAACTGCACCAAGAACTCTGCCTATGTCAATTACAGTGGTTCATTAGGGCTTAGGGTCTTCCCCAGAGTGTTCCACTAGTGAACGGCTCCACCCCTGAATTGTCATACAATGAACGTAGTCTGCAACTTGCCTCTGCAACCACAAGTCATGAAGGCTAACTCCATTTCAGAGATCTAATCCATTACTCCGATCGGGTCCTCCTTTCCAGTGAAGGTCGATGGTTTGCTAGTCAAAAAGTCCTTGTACTTGCATCCCAGTCCATTGTTTCCTCCATCTTGGATGTTTTTTCGAACTATTGGTGGGTTTTCTTGACCAATTATCCCACTAAAGTTCTCTCCTTCAGACTGCCCTCCATTAACTTCGGGCTCTTCCACATGAATTGACAGTTCTTCACGATTCTGTCGAAGCAGATGCCACGGTTCTTCCATTTGGCGATCCAACATAGTTTGAATCATTACTTGCACACCAACCATAGTCATTGGCTCGGGTGCTGTTGCTACAACAACTACTTGCTCTATCACAGGTATTTGATTTCTATTTTCATCAACATTTCCAACTCCACTCCTCGTTCTCGACATTTTTGATCTATACACCAAATAAGGTGAAATTAGATCTTCGTTCACAATAGATATTCAAATCATCCTTATTACTCCAAGCAATTACATTCTAGTTATAATATCGTAGCCAAACGCTTAGAATCCTAAACACATAAGGTTTCTAGATTCGGTTGGCAACAGACCATAGATCAGAACAAATAATTTCATATATATGGCAAACATATAACACTTAGCACATAAAAGCATTTTAGGCATCTTTCCTAAAATAAACTAGTGCTCATGTCTAAAATATAACAGACACGCATCTCAAAATGATCACTTAGCATTCAAAATTTAAGTATAGAAATCCTACAAATTCCTAGTTCGCTGAAGCTAATGCTCTGATACCACCTGTGACATCCCCAAAATCTCAGCCAGAAAAGACCGGTTTAATTTATGTTTTTAAAATAATTTCAGAGTAATCATTTGATTAAAAGAGTTGCAGAATTTGTTCCCAAAACAAAATATGATAAAATAAGATTTACCAAAGCATTTCCTAAAGAAATGTTTTTCATTGCATAACAAAACTCAGGATGTCATGTTCCGATAAACAGACCAAAAGCACAAACATTACAAAATAGACCTTACAACAGTTAAATATAACAACAGGTCTATAATCCAAAAATAATCTTGACAAGTCATCCAAGTTATGCTCTAGCGCCACTACCTATAATACAAATAAAAGTAAGTGGGTCAGGCTCGGGAGCCTGGTGAGCATATAAGGTTTTCAACCCATAATAAATAATTATATTAATTTCATCAACCAACAAAAACCCAATTACCCATTCCCGTTATCCTCACTTTACATCCCTAAACACTTTTCTCAAGGGACCTAATCTAAAAATATTTCATCGGGCAACAACACATGCTTCAGGGGTTTCCCAACAATATATGTCAAATAAGGAAACCATGAGGGGGATGGAGTACAGCGAATGAACACCCAAGTTCATTAACACCTACAGGTGGCGAGCCTGCTAGCGTTCCACATGATTGTCTAGAAAAGTCTGTGGTCATCATTTAAACTCTGCTAGATGACTGAATCAAAAACAACAACATCGAGGCCTCTCTTCATTTTAACACACATCAACTATCTACCCATGCTTTACCCAACACTTTTGTAGATAAAAATACATATACAATTTAAAATTTGTATAAAATGTTTATTCAACACTTATTTCAAATAAACAAATAATGTATAAACACATAACACATATTTCAAAGCAAATACTTCATATTTATGTGTTAGAAGAAAGTAACCACACACTCACACGTATAAATAACAATATATATATATATATATATATATACACACACACACACATACATATCACTTATTTTATAAAATACTTCATATCTATGTGTAAGATGAAAGTGTTGGATTAGTGTCTAAGTCCATAACTATTTTGGTATGTACTTGACCCGATGGTGCATGGTCCTTTTGGGTTTCCTACACCAAAGCAACTTGATTGGAGAAATAAATAAAGAGAGAGAGGTTATTATGATTTATTAATATGTTATAAGAATAATATATTAAAGGAGAAATCATATTTGTTTAATTAATATTGGTCAATAATTAATTGGGAATTAATTTTGTGATCAAGTGTAATTAATTAAACTAGAGGGGCTGATTTGTAATTATGTGATAGTTACAAAATAAGGCAAGGATTATCTTATTATTAGGGTGAACGAATTTGAGGTGATAAGGCCTTAGAATTCGACTATGATAAGGATTCAAAGATTATCTTATGGGTTGCATTGTGGATAAGCATCTAGATAAGGATAATGACTGAAACCCTATCTGAACACCTATATAAACACCCCTTGGCACATGAATTCGTGTATCTCTTCCCAAGGAGTCCTAAGGACGAATTCTAACCTCTCTCCTCTTTCTTTATACCTTCTCCATTTGCTCTTGGTGTTTGTAAGCCATTAGAGGAGTGACACTTGTGACTCTAAGCATTCCAAAGTCAATTCAAGGAGGAATTAGGATTGTTATTGCTATATAACAATCAAGGTAACATTATAAACTTATTCTCATGTTAATATGATTATTTGAATGCTAGAATTAGGGTTTATAGTCTTGGATTCAAAGCATGTACAATAGAGAAACCTAGATCCAAGCATTAGGGTTTGTATGAGCACATAGGATGTCTTATGACCAAAACCCATCAGTGGTATCAGAGACTAGGATGGTTTCAATTGTATTGATGCATTATATATCTAAAAAATTCGATTTTTGATGTTTTAGAGGCTGGACTCGCTGAGTCCATAGCTGAACTCGCCGAGTCCAGGGTGACTCGACGAGTCCAGGCTTGACTCGACGAGTCAACTCGTCAGATAAGGCTTATCTCGGGATTTCTTGCTGTTTTTGCATATGGATAGTTACCTCATCATGTTAGATCAATATTAATATGATTATATGATATATTTGACTATATTTTTGATCTAAATGAAGATATTTATCAATTAATAAGAAATTTCTTTCCTTATAAGATAATTGATTAATTATTTTAAGTAAATTGATAAATTGTTTTGCAAGAAATTATTAAATAAATCAAATATGGATAATTATGTGATTAAATGTTAATTTAAAATTATTTGTTATTTGATCCTTGTTGTTATGAAAAGTTTCATATTTTCCCTTTTAGGTTTTATAGTTTAAATTTGAACCCAAAAGTTTTGAAGTTTTGAAATTTAAATAGTTAAAACCCTAATGTTTTGAAAAAGGTTTCAAAACTTGCCCTCAAGTTTTGGAATTTAAAAGTTGATTAAAAGTTA